CAACGTTAGTCGATAGTCTCCACAGATCCGTGGTGTCTTACCATCACTTTCCATCGCCACGACGATCGGAGTAGCTCAGGNTGGTGTCCTACCATCACTTTTCATCGCCACGACGATCGGGGTAGCCCAGGGGCTGGATTCAACTTTACTTATCACATCATCCTGCTCCATGTTCTGTAATGCTTTCAGGACACCTTCCCGTTGACCGTATGAGAGGACGCGTCGTTTTAGAGAAATAGGTTTACCGTCCACTTCCAACTTCACTGACGGTACTTTTATGCCACCAACGTTACCGGAACACTGTACAATTAAATTTTGAAGATGTGAGGTGATTGGCATATCGTTGTTGGTATGTAGTGTGATGGATCCTTGTAATCGCCGCATTGCTCGAAGACCCAGAGTAGTTGGGCTGTGAGCTGATACCAGGAATCGGATCGGGAATGACACACCGGATTCAGATTGAACGCACAACATCGTTTCGCCAGGTAATTGCAACTGATGGCCAGTAACCCCCTGAATGCCCACAGAAGTCAGGGCTAGAACAGTATTAGGACAAATCGCAGTGAGTCGCTACTTCCTGTGTCCATGATGAATCGATGCTCCACACCAGACTCGAACCTCAGTGGGGCGAACACGAACTTGCCGTTGGGTTCAGTGGTCTGCAGCGCGTAGATTTGGCTTCAGTTCTCATCTTCCGTTGGGATATAGGAGTCAATGAGGTTGCACTTGAGCATTCGGCATACCTTGCAGATATGGCCCATTTTACCGCATGTATGGCAAGCGGCATTGCGGAATATACAAGTCGAACGAAGATGGTATTAACCACATGAAAAGCAACGGTTTGGCGCAGCCTTAGGTTGTGTTCGCCTTGAACTGGGTACTCGAGGAACCTGGGGTGAATTATGAACATTGGGTGCGTCACGTACGTTGATCGCCGATGGAATAATACAGGAGTATCCGCATTTGTGACAGCATACAAATCGTCACTTTGCTCACAGATTTTTCGAGCCCCAGCAAACATGATATCTTTCTTTTCCAACATCTTACGCTGTAATGAAATTTTGTTGATTCCAGCAATGAGACGGTCACAAAGTTGTTCTTCCATTCGGTCACCATAGTTGCATTTTGACGCCTNTGAGATGTTGTTGATTCCAGCAATGAGACGGTCACAAAGTTGTTCTTCCATTCGGTCACCATAGTTGCATTTTGACGCCTGTTTGTTCAACTGCAGAATGAACTCACGGCACGGCATGTTGGCAGCTCTGATCATTGAGTTGAATTTGGCCCGTTCAGTGGCATGCAAATCCACTGCGAAAATATGATCCAGTAATAGGGATTTCAACTTCTCGAACGGTAATTCAGCAGGAACATTCGGGAACGATAGGGTCTTCACCAAGGAATACAGCTCTCGGCCGCCCAATGTCAAAAATAGGACCGACTGATTTTGCATTCCTCCTTTCCGGAAGCTGCACCATAATTCGAAATTTTCTACCCACTCTTCGATTTCTGATGGGCTTTTGTGCAGGTTCAATGGTTCAAAAGAAGGAATCTCCATTGCGCGACGCCAAATTGTAGTAATCGGAATAGTATTGAATTTATTAATACGATAATCCGTGCTGTACCGCTCAGAAATGAATTGGCTCAAACCCGAACTGCAGATACCAATGAAATACACGAGGAATTGATAGCAGCAAATGCTTATGTTTATTGATGGAATTAGATCATGTTTTATAGAATGTAATAGTCCATATAATTGGTTGAACGAGCATCCTCTAATCATGTAACCGCTTGCACCGACGTATCATATGTGCTAACTCGGATGTCATGTTCGCCCGGTGTACCATTGGTCGAGCGTCCTAAAAGGTGATTGGGTGACATGAAACTGTACCTAGTCATGCATGGATTGGGGTCACGGAAGTCTGGATCATCACATTAACTAACCTCACACAAAGGTTTGCGCCACTGAGGGAAGGACGAACCAGAAATCGACCAACATGGTGGAAATCCGGGATAGAGAGGGCGCGTAAAATTCGCCGAAAATAATGGGATCGCTTTAAGTTTTACGGAACTCAACAAGCCTGGAGTGACTACAAGCGAGCGCGAAACAGATGTCAAGACCTTTAAAGGCGTGCTAAATATGACTCCCAGTTTAACTTAGCACGAGGCGTCAAACAGAACCCCAAATGCCTCTATGCGTGCGTGCAAGACAACGCACGACCACGGGAGAGTGCGTAGTATCTTACTTTTCTATCC